CATACATATATATAATATATATATATAAAATATACAGCTTACAGTTTCGTAGTCCTATTACAGTTAAAGCAGACTGAAAGGAGTGAGACTTTGTTTAGGAGCTCGGATCAACAAACAAGACATCTCAAAACCCCAGCAGGAGACAGCAGATTCTAGAGGCCTCTTCCAAGAGCACGACCTGTCTCTGCAGGGAGCTGCAGGGCCCGTGTGTGGAGCGACGCCCCGCAGGAGCCGGGAGCCGAGTTGCAAGTGATTAAAACTGGAATCCATCCCCTTTCCTCCGTGTCAGACCAGCAGGATCCCCAGGAAGCTGCCTCGGCCATCGGTCTCTGGGCCAGCTTTGTAAAAGCCAATCTAACTGACGCGGCGGGAACGCTTCTGCACGGAGCTGGAGGAAACGGGACACGCTAGAGCTCCCTGCAGGCGGGCTGAGCCTGAGATTTGGTGAAGAAAACATCGTCCACGCTTCTTCAGATCTCAGAGACGCCTGAAAACGTGCTCTTAAAAAACCCCACATAGTTCCTCGACGGGAAACCCAAAAGGTCATGCTGTGCAGCTAAGTGCAGCACGTCTTTTGCTCTACTCGGGACCCGCGCCCAAGCGTACTTACGAAGCCGGGGAGGACAGACTCAGCAATATGGGTGCTCGTTTGAAGCCTACAAGAAAGTGCAGCTGGCTGTGCATTCATAGAGCATGGCTGTTCTCTAAGGCAGTGCTTCGGGTGAATCAAGAGAATAAGAAGGCCTAGTTCCATGGGTTCGTTTCCTGGTACCAATAAACGGGATTTCTGGTTTCAAAAGCAGCCTGCTTCCAGGGCCGAGCGTCATGTCGCCACCGCTTCCAAGTAGCTCTGCAGCTTACGGACGGTCGTCTCATCCAAGGAGAAGAGGTCAAAGTCAAAGGTTGTGTTGGTAACGTTAAAATGCCCGGTTTCCTCAATGAGATTTACAATCTGTACGGAAAGGAGACAAGCGAGGATGTGTACAGAGCCCCCATAAAGGTTAAGCACAGCAGAAAGGCCGGCGGTTACAGAACAATCCCACCCGGTTCCTTCCTCATCCCTTCGGAATAGCTGCAGAGACGAGAATGTCTCGCAACGTGAAGGGAACCCTCTCCCCAAAAAGGACACCGGCTCTTCCCGCATGCCTGAGTAGCTCCGCCTGGAAAGTGATGTGGGCACATTTCTTTCCTTTTAAATCAGACCGAGAGAGCCCAGCTTTGGGACTCACTACCAGGATGGCAAAGGGAAGATGCACGATCTTTGCCAACGAAGCCAGGGCATGCACATCTGATTTTTAGTTCGGTTTGTTGTTTTGGTTTTTTCTCTAAATATCTTTGCTTGCAAAGCGACCAGACTCTCTCATGAAGGAGAGAGGCAAGTGAAAGGTCAAGCATTGCAGGGGGCCGGCTGAGACCCTTGGACACGGAGATGACCAGAGTACGACAGCTTGCCAGAAAGCTGACAAATGACCTGTACCTGCTGTAGCACATTGCGCTCTCGTAGTGCCATTAGTCGCCTGTGAAGCTCCACTAATTCATCAGTGTAGGCCTGTAAAGGAGGCATGAACAGAAACAGTGACACACGTGGCACGTTTGGATGACTGCCAAAGTGACTTTCCTCAGCGAGGGTCGGAGGACGTGCTCCTATCCCCAGTTTTTCCGTACGTTTTTTACTGCCTCCTCTCCCCTTACCAAGTACTGGGAGACTAAAGACTTCACGTAAATCTGGATGGTCTGAAGACCATCAGGGGGACTATTTAACGACACCATTAAACAAACACCTGCAACCAGCTTTAAGAAGTGGTCATAAACCCTGAGCTCAGAGGACCCCAAAAACGGCGAGCTCTTCCTCAGCCGGTTGTACTAATCAAGTGCCCACTACCTGAAAACAGCCGCAGCGGCGACCAACGCCCCAGCGACCTGCTGACCACTGCTTTGTGGTCAGGTAAGGAAAAATTCTTCGGCTGCGCTGCATTCCCAGGTAGTTTTACACACGCTGCAGCAGGAAACGCAGGATGCTACGCTCACTGGCAGCTTTTATCAAACCTGCGACAGCTGCAAAAGGTGACGGTGTTTCAGGCACTCTCTTCGAGTGTCCCCTTCCATCTGTATTAAGTGGTCTCATACAAAGTACTACTGCCCACAAACCTTGTCCCAGATAAGGCGCCTGGGCTGTGGTTACCAGCAGATGATTTTGAAGCTGGCAGGACACTCAGCTGCAAGTGTCTCCAACATTACACCTGACGTGACTATTAAGCTGGGCTGTATTCTCCTGTTGAAAAAGCGTTAACCCACACGAGTGAGAGCTGCAGACTGACTCTCTGGTTACTGTAGGGGCCTCAGGGATTGGACTACGGAAAAGGATTAAGCTCCCATTTGATTGATTTCTTAAAAAAATCGCAGTGGGAGAACTTTCTGGACAACTTCAGGTTTGGCTATTTGCTTGCGAGTTAGCCGTGCTTTAGGAGCATCTACCCTGCTCTGCTTTCCCTGGAGGCAGGAGAGAAGGGAATTTCATTGACCAAAGGTTTCATCTTAAGCAGAGTATCAAATGATCTTTAATTTGTACGATCAAAGACAGATGAAAACGGCCTTTTCATTAAAGGCACTCGCTGCTGCAGCACCAGCCACACCGTTGGTTCAGACAAAGGGCAAACAAATAAACCAATTTTAACATTTTGCACATGGAAGTGACTTGGGGGTTCCATCTATTTCACGTACACAACTTCTGCAGTGCTGCTCTCCAAACTTTGTCCTTTCAACATCTGTTTTTCATTACACTCAAGCTTTTAACCTGCTGAGATAGAGCAACATGAACAGGCTCGACTGATTCAAATAGCTTTCTACCCAGAAATATTAGTGAGCATCCAACGGTGCGATGACACACAAAGTCTCAAACATACCTTGTCATACGTTCCCTTCTTCAGAATCTTCTCTGGCTTGTTACAAGACTCTGGGCTTTTTCTTCCAGATGCCTGAGAGTTAAATAAAGCAATATTAGGGACCAAAATTGGTTAGAGAACGTGGTGGTTTAATGGCTGGAAGAGCACAGAACAGAGAAAAGTTCCCTCTCTGACAAAGACAATGAAAATCTGGTGCAAATCAGAACTGACACCATCGACTGAACACAACGCAGGTACCCAGAGTGGTGGAAACCAGCATTTTACAGGCACGCCAGATGCAGTAAATACCTTATTATTTGCTGGTGGCAGTTTCTGGCCAGGAGGTGGCTCTCGACTTGGCAGACAGGAATCTGCACTGTTATCACTGTCGCTGTCACTAAGGCTCAGTCTGAAAGACAAGCAGCAGAGAATTAGCATCACCAGGCAAGAAAAACTTACTCGGCTGCCAGCTGAACTGCACAGAGCCCAGTGAAACTCTTCTATTTACTACAGACTACTAAATTTGCTGGGAGAAACACTTAGTCCGTCATTTCCAAGAAGCTCTTTTTTCCCAGCTGATGTTGCATTCGCCATCTTCCATCCCCCAGGCAGGCAGAGCGGGGAGTTTCAGTTTACACACGGCAGCGAGCAGTTCAGCTCTTTCACACACGAGTCCCCTCACAACTAAGTAAGTATCACCTGGTTTTTGCAACCAGCAATTTGGGGATTCACTGATGACCTGCACGAGAGGCTTACCAACACCTCCACTGAGAACACAGGCAAAAACCCCAAACATTTTGCATTTCTGTTGTGACCTTTGAGATTTCCTATTTATTCTCATTCTTCTTTTGGCCCTACAGATGTATTACAGCAGGTATCCTACTTCTGATGAGCCTGAAAAACTGTTTATTACCTACACTCTAAAGGTCTACAAAATATCCTTTAAAGTCTCTCCACTCCAGTTCATAATGACAGAGTGCAACAACAATTTTATTATTTTTTTTTGTGAAGGCAAACATAACTTGAAATTCGCAGCTGCTATCTGGGCCAAGCATTTGGTTTCAAATACCCAGCTTAAGACTCCAGGTTTTGGCTACAACAGCACATCCTGAGGGGAGAAGGATGAAACTCAACTATTTCCATTGACTAAAGCAGGAAACAGCTGTTAACCAACCGAGCCCCAGAGGAGCCAAGTCACCAACTGTCAGCACGAGTGATCGGCAAGGACTAAGCCTGCTCCGTCTTGTATCGGGCGCGCGCAGCGAGAAGAGCGCGTACACCGACAGCCTCCACAGCTCCTCTCTCATCTCTGCAGATCAAAGGTGTCGCGCACCATTCGGCTCGGCAGAGATCTGAAGACAACAATTAAGTGACTCTTTTGAGGGGCTCAGTCACTAACACCTGCCAGCTCAACACGTACCACTTCCCAGGGGCTGCTTCTCTTTGAGCTCCAGTGATCTCTCCTCATCCAACTGCCTTCTCACCCTCCTGTTTTCAGCAACTCTGCGTCCCCACCCCACACCGAGGCCTCCACACATCTGCCCTTCCTCTGCTTCTCTCACACGGCCCCATCCCTTTGATTCCTCCCTTCTGGGGAGGCACACAGAAATACCAAACATGAAGGGCAAAAAGACAACAAACACGGTTCTTCCCGATTTGTTACCACCTGGAATCCCGGCTGACTGCGTTGGCTTTGACGGCTGCCTCTTCTCCAGAGGAGCTGTCGTCGTCATCAGACTCCTCTGACTGCAGATCTTCCACCATGGAGCGCAGCGGGCCTGGGACCAGGGAGGAGAAAGCAATTCAACACAGGGACACGCGCAGCAGAACCCCAGTCGAGCTATCTCATCTAAACCGGGTGAGTTATTATTAAGATGGATCAGGATTTCTCACCGAGGCGTCCGTGGTATTTTCATTTTGCACAAAAAGACACTGAATCCCAGTCTCAGAATTTCAACAGAGTTCACGGACTTTACAACTGCCATAAAGCCACCCTTAGCCTCCCCCCAAAACCCTTCCGCTCTCTTCTGAAATGAAAACAAAAGGACGTGTTTTTCATCCATTTGGGGACTATTTTAAACGTCACTCAGGAGACCGTGTTTGTAGCAACACAGCATTTGCTAAAGCTCGAACATTTACTGTTGCCACAATAGATCTCTTTGGATTATCAGCGGAGGAATTTGAAAAAGCAGCTGTTATGCACTGGCAAAGTGATGAATGTCACATTTATAATTTTTAATAAACCATATATGAGATTGGAGGGAAATATTCTGGTGACATGAGAGATGAAGTGGAAGTAAACAGATTTACAAACTGAGGCAGCAACCCAAGTCAAAAGGGAAAGAACCAAACCCAGAGAGATTCCCGATTCATAAGTTAGCTGTCAAACCAAGAAAAATACTTGTTCATGATTACCCTACGACATTATTGCCTTTTCTTGCTGAAGCATCACAGCTTCAACACGTGACTGTGCACAAGAAACTGTATTAGCCGTATATTCGGTGCTGGGAAAACAGATCTAATTCTCATAAGCCTTTTAAGGTTGTGCCAGGAAGACTTTAACAACTTGTATTTCTTGCAACACACCTTGACTGTGGTTCTGAGACGGCTCGAAATCAGAGTCAGAGCTGGAGTCGGAGCTGGAGCTGGAGTTGGAAGGGCTGGACTGGACAGACTTAACCCCCCATAAAAGGGAAAAAAAAGAAAAAAAAAAATCTTAACCTTTCTAATCCAGAAAAGCAGCACAGAACACAAAGCACAGTGAGGCAGAAGCATCTGAGCACGCCACATCATACATCACTGAATGCAGTTCTTGGAAATACAAAAAAATACAAAAAAATGCAGGGCAGAGACTACATTTACAGAAACTTTGGCAGGTTGTAGCTCAGCACTCCTGGCCAGTAGCATCCGCAGCTCCCATCCAAACCCTTCATGCCACTAGTTTGAAATGGCCTCAAATGATCAAACACAGCATCTGAAAAACGTTCAAGTGAAAACACCTGGACTTTGAAATGCAAGGATATAACCTGGAACAGTTATTAAAGCCCTCTTAAAAAATGTATTTGTTGTAACCCACCAACATTCCCCCTGAACACCTTGTGCTGGTCATTAAACATAGATCCCTAGCCTATCCCAGCTGGCCCGCTTGACTCCAGAACCAGTTCTGATTTACTGCTACAACCTCAAAACAGTTGTTGGTGCACCAACTTGAGCAATCCCTGTGTACTGTGAAAACCCAACCGAAACCAGCTCCACCGCCGGCTGGTGTTCAGCTGGGGAGCACACTGTGCAGTACGAGTGAGTGAAAAGATGTAACTATGGCTGGTAAGAGCATCCAGAAACGAAGTTTCGGGGCTATGACTCTTTTAACCGAGAAGCAGAGGTTGCACAGCAAGCCCATGCTTGAGCTTGAAGGACCACGCGGTGGCAGTGAAGGCTCAATCAACTATTTCATCCCCGATGGCAGCAGCGACTGTTTCCGTATCTTAAAGGGGATTTTGTTACTCAGCAGGATCTAGCTGAAAGATTCTCCACGTACTGGAACATCATCTTGCTATTTTTAAAAGTAATTCCCTGGAAATTTCACATTTCAGTTTCATTGGGAATCCACCTAGTCCTTCCACTGCCAAATCTTGATGCTATGAAAAAATAAAATCACACATTCTCAATAAACTTAATAAATAAAGCATTAGTATTACAAAAACATTGTAAACAGGTAGAAAGAGGCACATCAGCAGCTTTGGGCAGTAATAAGTGAAAGCAGTGGCAGGACTGTCATCCCAGTATCACCCTTCCCTATGATTTATCACCTGAGTGTTGAGGAGAGTTTCATTTATTTAACTGTAAGAAGGGGAAAAACGTCAAAAAGGGGTATTACAACCCTTGTGAATTATTCTGTAGCAAAGGAGAATAATTCTACGCTTCCAATATCTGCTCTATTGGCCCACTGCAGCAGCCCTATTTGTTCAAAAAAATCACAAGACAAAAGTAGAGAGCAGTATTTTGAAGAGAAGGGAGCACAGGTCTCGTGTCTTACCCACAGGTTGAATCCTAACACCCTTCATCTCTGACCTTCTAGCAGCAGTTCCCTTAAAATGACTTAACAGGACCTAAAGCAGAAATCGCAAGTTTTATAGACCCCGTCCCTGCTTTTGCCATTAACCCTGTAGGGGCTATTTCAAGCGTTTCGGAGGCTGGACATGCTCTGCGTGCTCAGGCTGCAGCTACTGTCACCCTGATACGACAAAAGCACACGCCTACGATGGAAAAAAGCAACCCTGCCCGCACGTCGCAGCCTCTCCCTTTTGTCAGCGCCAGCATTTAGGCAGCCAAGCATGAGGCCAGTTCAGGGAATTGGACTTGATGGGGGAAGGAAAAAAAAAAAAGTAAAAAAAAAAAGAAAAGTACCACTAACTTTGAGCAGGAGCTGAAATGGAAGGAGAAACTCCTCCAGCCCGTTGCAAAGTCACACGAGCTCTCGTGCCAGCAGCACACATGAGAGCAAGGCTGTTCCTTTCAACAGCAGCCTGCAAAGATGTCATCTCAAAGCAATCGCGGAGCTGCAGCCTCCGAGCATGTTGCACAACCCCTTGGCTGCAGCAGCAAAGCTGATTTAAGAGTTTCCGGGCCCCGGTCCACCTCCAGCTGCTCCTTCGCTTTAGTGATGTGGCTTTACCACACAGATCCACCAGCAGCTGCACCAGCACAAACCACGGAGCAGCAAAACGGCAGCGCTGGGAGCGAAAAGAACCCCCCCGGGGTGGAAAAGGAACTCGGTCAGCCCTCCCTGCCGCTGCCAATGCATTATGCAGCTCTACCCTCGGCCTTCAAGTTCCACAGAAACCCAGGCCCATCTGACTGGCAGCTGCCACAGTTTCCCCTCCATCACACCGAGTATTCCTGGGCCAGCGCTCAAAATACCTCTGTCAGGCATCCAACAGACACAAGAGCTGGTGCAGAGGAGGACAGGGAAGCTCAGAGCGCGCTGGGGGCACGACAGGACGGCAGCAGACGCCGGGGACCCACAGGCCCAGTCTGCGGTTTCGGGGAACAGCCTGATCGGCGCTCTCGGCTTACAGTCCTGGGGAAGAGGGCCTGACACCTCAGAAATACCGAAGTACAGGACACTCAAGATTTCAGTGACCAGAAGGCTGCAGCCGGGGCCGTGGGTCTGGTACAGAAACGATGGCTTCTGCACACCGAGGCACTTCAAGTGGAGAGGAGCTGCCTGTTCTGAATGCACAAGCTACACATTGAACCAGTCGGGGGAGAGGGGGAGAAGAATAAAAAGAAAAAAAGGCTTTGCAGAGTAGAAGTACTTTGCCAAAAAAAAAAAAAAAAAAAAAAAGAAAGAAAAAACCTTTCTGAAATAAATACATCTGTATCATTACTGTATCAGCGTGCTGATTAAATCATAATATGGATTGTCCCTAGATGATTCATTCTAGTAAAATAAATCTTCCTAAAAGTGGCCAGAAGGATGCAGCTCAAATTCACGTGACATTACCCTGTGAATCCCATCAGAATTTACAGTTTCTTTACTGCAAGTACAAAATATACAAGTGAAGAGTAGCGAGAGTATGGATTAAATTGCTGTCTTTTCCTTCCTTTTTTTTTGTGTCTTCTTTTGGAAAACAATTTTAGAAGACAGAGGACAAGGAATGTTCTTAGTTGTAAATATTTTTTTCCTTTTTAGACAGCTTTTAAAAATAGTAGTACAATAACATAATTTGTTTTATGTTTTACAACACAACTTATTTAGGTTTAGTGGCATGTGGTTGTACTTTGAGCTCTAGCCAATAGCGCATTTCTTTACAGGCTATGTCAGGAACAGGTTTTTTTATTTACATTTTAATGCTGTTCATTTTCAGAAACAAAACTGAAATTATTTCCTCCTTTTCTGAATAAAGATCACGTTCAAAACCATTATGTTGTCATCAGCGGGCAGAAAGTGTATCTATGCCTACAATACTCTAGCTCTGCAAATGTCACTGCAAGAGAGGACCGTAACCTTAAATTCAACTTTTAGATAACTCTGTCTGCAGATAAATCGAAACAGAACTGCGTATCTGCAGTAGGGGGTAAAACAGGTACCATGAATGATGAATACCGACAGGATTTTCTAAGAAGAGGGTTTTTTATTTGAGATGCAACCCAGCCAAAGCCTTTGCCAATGTGGTTCTCTATCTTCCACGAGGGATTTAAACATGCTGCTTAAAAATCCTAGTAAAGGGCAAATCCCTGCTCACCTCTGACTTGAAAGAAGTTTCATCCTCTGAGTTCGACTCCTCCATTTCCACAGGCTTTTTGATCTCCTTGGCCTCGCTTTCAGATTTCACCTTTTCCACTTTGGCATTCATCTTCTCCTTGGTTTGTTTCTTCTCTGGATATGAGGAAGACGAGGTTCTGGGAGACGTCCCCAGGATATTCTTCACTCCTTTGGAGCTACTCTTTTTTTGTTTTTTGGCACTAGGCTTTGGTGACTCCACATTGGAGGGCCTCTTGCTGGAAGACTTTAACTCCGGCTGTGGCCCGCCCTTTGGAGAAGTGTTCTCCAGTTTGGTCTCCTTCACGGCCAGTTTTGGTTCCTTGAAAGCAGCTTTTGGAGGTGCCTTCTCCTCCTTAGGCAGTTTGTTCTCGGTCGGTTTTCTGGAGGAGTCCTTCAAAGGCTTGTTTTGTTCTCTTTCAAGGTCTTTGGAAGAGTTTTTGCTCTCCGAGTCTTTCCTTGGCCTCTCTCTGTGCTCCTTGGTTACTTTGTGCGGCTTCGATGCTTTGCTACTTTCCTTGCTTGCATCCTAAAACCCAGCAACAGAAACGTGCAAGCCAGGTATGAAACTGAAGCTCTGCACAAAATTATAAAGCACATTCTCATAAATCACACCAAAACATGTGTTTCATGTAGACATCCACCCACAGATGCCTAAGGTACTTAACTACCTCCGAGGTAAACATCTCCATTTCCCTGAAGCTGGACAGAAAATGACAGTAGGCATTTAAACATCTACATTAGGGCAGGATGAAACATGTCTTGCAAATGCCTGTTCCTTTCCACGGTCTATAAAAGGAGGTCTATAAATATCTATAGATGTTTCCTTCAGATTTGATCTGCGGGCTTAACATCTGAAGCCAGGTAAGAGGAAACTCACCCTCGCTGTGTTACGCAAAGTTACACTTCACACCACATCTTAGGGGGAAAAAACCCAGCAACTGTGGAGATTTTTTTTTTTTTTCAGCTTAAAACACATCCATGGTAAATGTAAGTTGTGTTTGCAGCTTAGCCCCCACCTAGACAAAAACACTGAATGT